AACACAGTAGTATTAAACAGTTTTTATTTGGCTATACACTTTCTGTTTCACAGTTATCAGAGAACCACTACTGGATAATGTCACAACAATCGAAACAATCATTCAGGAACCATTCAAAAGTAAGTCAACAATTTCTTATGCGATGATCATGCATGTCTCTATAGTTAGTGATGCCATGCAACGTGAAAGTGCAATTGCCGATGATTATTGGCGATATACATTGAAATATGAGAAGAATAATCGAATGGAAGTTTCTTTACAGAGTATTGAACGAAAGTGAGAATAGTTCCTTTTCTTTCGTCTGCGAATATTTTCTTCTGAGTTTTTCATTTAGAATCGATCATCTCAGTATTCGTTCAAAAGACGATAATAAGCTTGCTTTGGTAAGATTTCTCTCTTGTATTTCGTATCGGATTGTGATTCTACTGTTTATATGATAGGCCAGCCAACAACCTGACACAAGAATAAACACTGAAAGTGATGTTTAGGCGCATTTATTGAGCACTTTTACAGTTGTTACGCATCACAAAATTTTTCTCGATACTAATTCGAATTTGATGAAACACGATTGTATTAATTTGAAATAAATTTTTCAACTCTGCCTTTCATTATAAAGGATTTCCAGAAAATGATTTTTATGATTTTCCAGCGTGATTCGATTGATACTTATCCGAATGACAGTATCAACAGTGCTGATCAAGAACATCAGGTGGATTTGCACGAGAACTCAAAATTCAAGGACTTTTAGGGGCAGTAAAGAATACAACTCCAGTAATTTTTCTACCTTCAACTACTGTTAAAATACTTCTTAGTGGAGAGAAATTAAGGCAAATAGTAAGGAATATTGACTTGAGGAGAGTTGCCCTCGTTATGCAAATAGGATGAGATGCCATAGACCGAAAAAAGAAAAGAAGTGACAGTACATCCTATTCCACGATACTCAACATTCCGGAATCGCTTACGATGTGGGCGTGGGTATGGATTTGGTTGTGGTGTCGATACAGAGGGACTTACAATTACATCCACACACCCACACTCACACCCTCAAAAAAAGAAGCTGACCTCTGTGATGTGTCAGAGTTTGTCGGTTTCCATGGGTGTATCACAAAAAGGTCCGTTTTTAATTGATTATATCGGATTATTTCAACTGGAACATGTTTGATAAGACCTGAGCTCATGAATAGATTCACAATATTTCGCCATTGCTAATTCTTGATTGAAGATGCATAATTTTTCGTTACGAAAATTCAGTATAACAGAACCATTTTGTCTAGAAAATAGAAATAAGAAAGGAGGCATCTGTGAAACTAATGGTATACTAGCTACGTATGATGTACTACATAATGATGTATAATTGAGTTCTAGAATCTATTTGGTTCAGGCATAGCGAAGAAAACAATGATTTTACACAGGTGGACGAATAATTTTTCGACCCACTGTATATACATAGATATGAATTAATAAACGAGAATTCGTCGTGAAATTTTAATCGAAATTATTTAGCTTTTTTCTTGTCATATGGAAGAAAATCATTTTCATTTTGAATTTCAATTAGGATTAGTTAGATTTTGATATTTAAATTCATTTCATGTTGACTAACTGGAGATTTTTAATGTTTTCATTTTTTTGTTTCATATATTCATTGAAGGAAAGTAGAAGGAAAAAAGAAGAAAACTGATTGAATAACAAATAAATCAGAAGTAAATAGAACTATGTTGACATCGATACGCAATTTTGTCAAAAGTGAAGGTTTAATTTAATTATTGAAGATCTTTTCAAATATTTCGATATTGTTCTTGTTCCGTGTTTTTGTAGCGCCTTCAGCAGTAGTTTCTTGGTGCGTATCATTCTATTTTCGTAACTATTTGAATAAATTAAATCAATTATTGAATATATGAATTTGAAATAGTTAATTATTGAATTCAACTTTCAGCTTTGATGCCCATGGTTGTTCACTGGTCATCAAACAACAAGGAACTCGGATTCATAGAAGAGAAAAAGACAATTTCATTCGATCATTGTTTTGATTATTTACGCAACATGATAGAAAATATTTGATTTGGGTGGGGTGTGGGTGAAGAGACGACCACACCCACACCCACACAGCTTTCTGTTAGATTCTCCATAAAATCGTCAAAAACTATGATAAACTGATAAATCATAGTACATTTGAGTGTAGAAATTTCGAACAATTGAACCACGTAAATAACTCGAAAATCAATTTTTCTTTTACCAAATATAGAATTTTCCGAGTGAAGGAGTAGCGGGCTTTATAATTAAGTTGCCAGAATGTATATCACATGTGCTAGATAAAATTTTATTCAATGAAAATCTTATTTTAAAAATTAGTTTCGAACAAAAACCTACAAGATGCTGAAGGTTCATTTTGTTAAAGACGATCTGAACAGACTGTTTGAATAGAATTCCAACAAATAGCATATGAGCATTAATTAAGCAGAAGTAGAAATTTCAGAAGTTTACAATGTAAATTTGAAAACACCAACATATATCTTCATTGAGTCTTTGTGATAATAATGTATTTATTGAAATATTGGACAATATTGACTCGTCAAACAAAATCATTGATCTTGATTATCCTTGGATCGAGAATATTCATAACGGAACCATTGAAATTCTGTCATTGGAATCACATGTCGTCAACTGACATGAATTTGAGTAATACTCATTTTTTTTCACGAGGCCAAAGGCTGAAGTGCGAATATTTTTCTTTGTTTCGTGCTCCTTTACTGTTAAAATTTATAGAGAGAAAGTAATAAAATACTTTCGAATTATGGAAAGCAATGGCAGCACAAAGTTTCTACTGAAGAAATCTAAAAGAAGACCTTTGCCCTAAAATGAATTTTTCAACTATTCCGCAACTACATGTTCATATAATTATCGATATGATCAAATGAATAAGGATACGGCAAAAAAAATTACTTTTTTTTGCTTTTACAATATAAACCATATGCCTTTTCACTTCTATTATAGTATTTGATATATATTAAAGAAAATAATTAAAATATGCACAAGTATTAAAAGTTGTCACCGCCAAATCAGAGAGATGACTTTTTGACATATACGGCCTTATCATAATGATATTACAGCACGTAGACGCCGGTGTACAGTGAAAATACGGATAGCTGTTTAGATTGACCTGGAACGTTCTTTGGATTTTTCCTCATAATATTGTCTGTAATACGGTTACAGCTTATTTTCCGAATGATAAAGTCTCTATCACAAACTGATCATTTTCCCTTTATTTATTGATAATTTTAGTATTGATCATGTAATCTATTTTAATGATCGAACATCTTTTTCCATAATTTAAAATCTCAATTGCGTTACAAGTTATCATCTCGATGAACATGAAAAGCGAATAGTACATATGTCAACTCGCTATCAGCTACATTTATGCTAGTAATAATATTTATGTAAATTCATAGGATACATTTTCCCACAGTATACGAGTCTTTTCATACAAAATCTTCGTTACTTTTGAAAAAAAACATAGAAGTATATGAAAAATTTTAGATAAATAGTGCATTGCTACAAAAAGAGACGATCTTAAGAAATATGACCAGATGATAAAAGAAAAGCCTCTTCAGTAGAGTCACGAGAGTGATATGATTGGTCAGCCAAGTGCATGTATATTACAGATTGCTGTGTCTTATTGCTATGGAATCTATGAAGAAAGCTGTTTATGCAATCCTCGTGGGATTAACATGTCAAATACAATATCGATGTTGTTTCTGATCATCTAAAAATCATTTTATTTGATCTATTTCGGGATACATTTCTTCTCAATATTTGATTTAGCTCTCTAGTACTACGATAAACACTTCAGCATTTCCTATAGATTTTGTTTCCTGAAGTTAGCGGATGTCTTCTTATAACCAAATCTTTTTTTGTCTCGAAGGCTAATTTTTTTCTCTTTATCTAGTTAGTTTAAAGAGAGAAACGACTTCATTGTTTTATTTTCGAATAAAATGACACCTCTTAGGTACAAGTAACGGGTGGGTATCTATGCCTCGTTTAGATCAATCCAGAAATGGTGCGAATGGGAAGCAAATCAACACTTAATCCGATCCAAATAAATCCCTATCGACAGTCTTACTCTTACTACCACTCGATACGTTTACCATACTCATTCTTTCATGATTGAGAAGGATAAATTTCTAATAATATCTATATGAACTTTTAGATGAAGACATTCGTTAATCTATTCATATTTCTTGTTTNACGACATGGGCGTTATTTTTGGCTGGGAACCCGCAGGATCCCGTCACTTTTGCTGGATAGGCGAAATCCCGTGAGATCCTGCCGGGAAAAGTTAATCCCCCGAGATCCCGCCGGGAAAAGGTAATCCCGCGAGATCCCGCCGGGAAAAGGTAATCCCGCGAGATCCCGCCGGGATTCATAAAAAATGAGCGACATGGGTGTAAATTCGATTCAATAATTGGGTAATAATTTAAATAACGTATATTACTGAACACATTTAAGATATTTGTAAAAATCAATGTTGCCGAATTTTGTTTTGATTCTTTCTTATCATCAGTCCTTGTAATATGAAGTGATTGAACTTTTTTGTTGAAAATATGGAATAAAGGAGATTGATCTAAAGATAGATTCAAAATATGCTATCGCTTATGGATTTCATTAAATTCTAGCATTTTTATTATTCTTTTCCAACGAATTTGTATTAAGTGACAATATACTTTTCTAAATTATGCAGATGTTATTTAACATAATTGAAGCACATTTACTTCAATGAAAACAGTGTCGGAAAAAATGTAACTACAAATGATTGAAATTATATATTGTACATTGTTTATTTTATGAATATTCATGTGCATTTTCGATATTTTCTTTGCTTTTTCTCTCTACTATTATTTATAGATCTCTCTATTGATCGCTTAGTTTTCATTCGTATTAAGAATGCAATAAAATATATACTATGATCTTCTTAAGCATATGAATCAAATCAATAATAGTTCTATTTACTTGGTGTGCTTGCAAGGTTGAAAACAATCGAAATGAAATATCTTACCTGAAAAAATACGTTCACCAGTCTTGTCATCAATATTGTAAAGCCCAAGACTATGTAAATTAGGATAATCAGCAACACGAAGAATGCGTTCCATAGATAATGATTCAAGATAAAGTGTATTAATTTTAGAATGTATGTGAGGTAATATTTGTGAGCAAAATCGATCGAGTACTTTATCAACCAATGGATAGATAAGATCACTTGAAAAATATCTTACCAATGTTAAGTTTTTAGTAAAGACTGAATCGGGTATAATTCTATCTAATTGTGTATTGATACCCATAAGAGAATAGAGTAATTCAATATTGTTCAGTTTCTTAAAAATCACCAGAAGTAGTTAATTAGGTAAATCGATCAATTGAACATTTGTATATTCCATATTCGTATTCATCGATCAATGTTTCTTCAGTACGCGGATATAAACAACTACATACACACACACATATATATATATATATAATCGCTGCTTTTTTAGTTCTTTTTTTTGACCGATACGTCAGAGGCAGAAAAGAATGTTGTGGTCATTCAGTCAATAATTCTCATGAAAAAGACATCTTCGTCGACTATTGATAGTAGTGTAAGTGATCGACATGCAAGAAAAATCATATGAGCATGAGTTGTGAACAAAAAAGTTGATTTTTATGTATTTCAATTAATTGCTCAAAGACATGACATTATCTGTGTTCGATCTTGTTGGATTTAAATACTGTATTTTGAAAGCAACTTGTTTCGAGCCGAAAACTTATATATTTGATGAACTGTCACATGGTAGTGTATGACTTCGGTTACTTTCCAACACATATGAATTGTTAGT